ACTACTACCAGCAGAAGGTTTGAGATTTTCACATGTAGGTATTTCAAATTAAGCTGAAATACCACTGCTGTACGCCAATCAAATTGCAGAAATTTCTCATGTAGTAGTATAATCTGCGAAATAGCCTTAAATTTAGGTTAAGCTAAACTTACGTCACAAATTAATTTTGACATCTTCTGCCTTGCCACATCCGAGATCATTTAAGCCATAAATGAAGCCAAGTCTTAAAGACTAAGTTAAAGAGCCGATGGAGATCAAATCCGATTTCCTTAAGTCCAAATAATGTCACTTTGGGTCCAATTTAACTACAGACGTGTCACACAGCCTGATTGTCGCCATATTGGTTTCTCTTAACACCCAGTCCTCCGGTGGGTGAGTCTCGCGCGCGAACTTCCACAGCACTCGTCTCGCGTTTCACTAGCCTGCGAAAACATCCGTTTCTCCGCTCTTCGTCGATGGGGACGTTTCGCGCGGAGGAACGAAGAGCGAGGAGAAACGGATGTTTTCGCAGACTAGCGTTTCACAAGTACTCGGAAAACGAGATCAAGGGCGGCAGGAAAATAAACAAGAATCGCCAAATAGCCTGTTTTTCCAGGCGTTCAGATAGTAGAGCGCAGAAGACAAATTCACAAAGATAAAGATGAGGGGAGACAACTTAACCCGCTCTCCACTGACCGCTGCGCTTTACTATCTGAACGCCTGGATGGAACAGGCCATGCAGGTGATCCATAATCGGGGTGGGAGACCTTACGTCAACTAGATATCTTTTCAGTAATAAGAAATAAGACATCAAGAAGTCCAACTTCCCAGTTGAGACAACGCGTATTGAACTTTTCAGACAACATTTTGACTGGCCAGACCAGCCTTTCAGGTTTATAGATGTTACCAGTAACGTTTATTTTGAAAAACGAAAAAGGTATTAGTCCTCCTTTGAAACGACCTCCTAGTTTCGTTTTACAGCAAAAGGGATGTTGAAAACGATATAGAAATAAGGATGATGTTGTTGTATGACTGCACCGGTACCCATGCATTGTTGGAGAAAAGAAAAGGAAAACGAAAAAATATAGGACTGGACTTTCCTATAATCGTTGAAAATTGGTTGAACCTTTGAAAAAATTAGCTTTGAAAATTGGTTGAAGCACAATTGCACACGTGATACGCATTATATTCTGCAGTCTGTGTGTGCGTGTTTTTGTATTTTTTGTTGTTGTCGCTGTCTGTTTATTTTTCATTTTTTCAGTGTAGTTACTTATATTTTTGAAACCCCATTCTTTTTTTTTACACAAATCAGCCTTCCATCCATACAAAACGGTACGTACGTTATGTATGGGACATATTTTGAACCAACTTTACTTCACTTCTGCTTGGTAGCTTGTTACTCTGCTACTTTGTCGAAAACAGTGAATCCGCTGGCCGAAAAACCGCTCTCAAGTGTGGTTTAATTTGGGCACTGTCCACACGAATCGGGAGGAAAAAAAAAAGCGGTTTCAAAATTGTCCAGATTCGTGTGGACATGGCCTTTTGGCCCCGTTTACAAGGAGGGAGGGTAACCTTGGTGTTAGGAGGATTACCCTAGCACTAGCACATTTCGTCTTTTTTACACGACGTGTTTACAAGGCAGGTAGTGGTTACCCTAGCGCTTTCAGACACGCGCATGGCTATTTGCGTGTCTCTCCCCTAGTTTGCTATCGACTCGTGAAACTTCTTCCTTTTCAGAATAAAGGGGAAAATTATTTGGGAATTAGTTTCCTGGAAAAGTTGATACAGTAGACATTGGGTAAAAACCTTTGGGCTCTCCTTCATTGATAGTTTTAAGATTGTTTTGTTCATTTCGTCAGCTAAAATTTTCCTGGCGGGACTTTTAAAGAAGGCAGGGGAGGAATTCATCCGTACACTTCAACGTTTTAATTTAGCTGAAATCTTGCTCTGCATGTGGCAAGGCTTCGAAATCTTCATGAATATGGGTTAGGTGCTTACAAGCCAATCGCTAGTGAGAGCATTACAGTTGTTGCGGGTTTCGGTCCTCGGCGATCTTCATGCACGCTTTTGAATCGGTGAATTCTCCTACCGTTATAGATAGTACAACGTCGCCGGTGCGACGGTATTTAATGATCCGGACCCGAAGCCTTCTTAGGTGAGTAGGATACTTTCGAGCCAGCCTCACTCAGGCTCGACCGTAGGGGAACTGGTTACAAGTTAAAAATGAGTCTTTTCTCATGTTCAGCCGCAAACACTCCGCACAGCAAAGAAAATAGGAAAACCTAAGTTCCTTTAAGATTCTCTTTATTGGATAAAAATTTATACAGACAGGATTCCAATAAATTCTACAAATCACTTGAAACGAGTTTTAATGTAGCACGAAAAAATTGATTCATATCCTTTTTTTCGTCCAGTTTCTTTTTCTGGAGGCAATAAAATCTATCAAGATTTTATTTCTTGTGAGGTATCACCCCTACACTACTCAGCAGTAATCCATTAGTGACAGTATACGGCAATTATAGAGGGCTAAGTGGGCTTCATTTGCTAATTGTGCCGAGTACGTCGCAGGATACACAGTGCATAAACCAGTGCAGCGTTTCGGCAGTATGAACTCCCTACGCCACGACCCAGCCATTTGTTTTCTTGCATTGAAAAACATTTTATCTTCAATGTTCTTCAGAACGAACTGCAGGCTAAACGTCAGTGTACTGTGTCGCATTGTTATGTGCGTTGCCCTCAGGAGAAGCCAGGAGAAGTGGAAGATTGTTCATATGCTTACTGTAAATCAGAGGGGGCCTAGCACAGATACCTGGGGGAGTTAATATATAACGCACGCCTCAAGTTGGGCTCATAGAAATAAACATTTCTTGGCATCCATTAATTTTCTTACTTATTAATCCCCGACCTCTATTTATCGAACACAAGGTTCCATTTAAACAACAAACCTTGAAAAATGACGAGGCCTGTTACAGGGAAGCGTAACGCCAGGAAGCCCGGTCAAGACACAGCCCAGTCTCTTCACCAAAACTTCAGGTAAAACTCTCAGCAAAATCATGGCATATGATTCGCATATGCATGTAGACGAACTATGCAAAAAAATTACCCGCACGTTTAGGTCCCCTTATTATTAGGCCTTTTAGTCCCTACCTAAAAGGCCAGAGCCATTTTTCCATATGACTTCATAAACATTTAATTTTGTCAGCAATATTTGAAAGTATGTTTATACTTTATACCACACAATTCAACGGTCATCGCGACCGACAGGTGCGCTTATTCCTTCTGATTTACTAATACCTGAATGAAAAGGGATTTTTCTAATACCCAAGCTCAAAACGTAACACCTTTGAGTAACAGTCCAGTTTCGAGTTGGTAGGTACTTAAAGTAGGGTTATTAAAGTGTATTCGAGTTGCTATGACCGTTGAATTAAAGAAGTGAAGACGCATTTTTCACAGCCTTAGCCTCCATCTGAAGTAATATCTTCACAAATTACTAGAAAAAGACCTGTTTATTACTCTGTCTATTGTGTATGTTCAAATTTCAAACACTTACTTGACCAGAATTTCTGAATATTTTACTTTACGTCGAGACTGACCCTGTATGAACGTGTCATTAATGTTCGTGTTCAGCGGTAATTTTTAATTGAAACTGGACTATTAAGTTAAGCTCCGTCGCTGGGGATGTTTAGTCAGAGATGTAACACAAAAATGAAACACAAAAGTACGTAGAGAATGCTTTCTGTATTCCAGTGAGAGTTTGGCAATACAAAAACGAGCAGTCAAATGGGCCATTACGGAGATGATCGTGTCGCCAGGGTAAGAATACAGTCAAACCTCCATTAAGCGGCCAATAATCAAAGTCCCGAAATAATTATAGAAAAGAATGGGAATTAAACCTCTATTAAGCGGCTGCAGTCTCCTTTTGGGCGTCTCAACGAGAGTTCTTCCATTGTTGTCACCTCCATTAAGCGGCCATCAAGCACTTGATACACTTAGTTTGGCTTTATTTCAAGAACGTGATGAAGGAAAATACAGGTGACGACCAATTGTTGACCAGAAATGCTTCCTCCGTCACGCTTTTGTTTCAAAATGAAGTGATGTTGCTGCTAAAGATTATGCTGATTTATGACGAAGTTCTATTGAGCGGCCAGCCTCCATTAAGCGGCCACTTGCCAGTGCCCGAGGGTGGCCGTTTAATTAAGGTCCAACGGTATTGTTAGGGACCTTACGGCGACGATAACGGGAACGTCCAAAAACATCAGTTTTAACCCTTTTAACGCTAAGATCAAACTTTGAATTCTCATTTGTTTCCCCTACTCATTACTACAGAAGAAATGGGGAGAAGTTAATAATATTTCAACCAAATTCATCTTGTGTGATCATGTCCGTAATTCTCATGACCACTCTGTTTTACAAAGCATAGATATTACAAGGAGAAATTTGACGCTGATCACTCTTAGGGCTTAAAGGGTTATTGAGCACACAACAACAACTTTGCACGTGCATCACGATTGTTTGTAAATTTCATTTTCGTCCCTTCACAACTACAGACGTGACAAGGCAAAATTTTACGTTCACTTGAGAACGGGAATCGGACAAGGCAATAAATTCTAACATCTTTGTCTCAATATCGGGCGCAGTCTCTTCTCTTCAGCTCCAACTTAAATTTTCTTCTTTACGTAACTTAGGGATAATCGCCAAAAAGTTTGAAAGAATGCGAAGTCTGGTTTTTAACGACTTTTTCGTGGACGTCACCATTGTCGGATCGTTAGGTCTCTTTTCACTATGAAGCTTTTCCGTAATAGAGAGGCGTCAATTTTATAAAAGTGTATTTATGAGGAGAGTTTCCAGTTAAACACTTGAAGTCTCGATTGCCACTATGAGGAAAATACAGGACATCATTTAAACAACAAGAAACAGATTTCTCCCGTGAATATAGTCCTCTATCCTGTAAACAACAGGATTTTATGTCTTGATTCTTTAATCCTCTGGCTTTGATACCTGATTCCAAAAAGGGGCGAACATCATAAGATAGGTTCCGATCCATTCCAGTCTATGACAGCATTCTTCCACCTGTCCGATCAGTAAAAAAAAATACACATGGGTTTAATAGTTAACCACTATCTTAGGACAAGGACGCCAAATTATCGCATGCCAATTACTGCATTCTGCGTCATGTTACAAGCTGATTTCAACAAATCGACAACAATTTTCCATGGTCTGTACTCTTATCGTCTATAAAAATGACGTCAAAAGGTTCAGAACTCAAATGGAACCACAAGCCCCAGGCGAGTGGTTTCATTGCAAAGTTTTGAACGTTTTGACGTCATTTCTATGGTCGACCAATCAGCGTGCGAGAACCTCAGTTAAAAATATCTTGACTTTGTGCTTGAAATATGCCTCACTTTCATTCAGCCCGACACGTCAACAAATACATCAAACACGCCTGTTTCTGCGTCAGTAGAAGAAATCCTAAAACGACTAGATTTTTCGTAACCAAAGAGATTCCAAATACCCCTTTAACGAGCAAGCAATAGGTTTTTGGATAGAAACACCTTAAAAATTTGCCGACAAACTAAGCACAACACGCAAAAAAAGTACCATCACGATGTGAAAGTACTGCTAAAAAGGTTTCTTTTGAATTATCACGTCGTAGAACTTCGTCCACGGACTCAAACGTAACAGATACATACTAAATTACAAGAAACATCTGCAAGTACATGTACTGCTAAAGAGGTTCAATTGAATGGTACCGCCGTAGCTAGGATTTCATCCACAGACTTAAAAATTTAGAACTACACACTCAAGATATAGAAAAGTGTGAAAGTAGGGCTGACGAGGTTTAATTTGAATGACGAGACACATTGCCTGATGGTTGAAAATGAGCCTTGAAATGCACTTCTGTGTTAAAGAATGATCCCATAATGGGCCGTTTGAAGCTCATCAATGACGGGGTACAAAAACTATGGAGAACAAGAAAAGCACTAAGACGACAAGAAAAACAGACCTTATATTATTTTATTTGGAAATTTATGTTCTCTTTCTTGTCCAAGTAGCTTTCTTGCCTCTTATAATGGTGTTTTTATACCACGCGGCCAAATGCAAAAGGCCACTTTTCTGACAATGAACTCTGTCACGTGGTCTCACCTTGTTCGTATGCAGAGTTCCAGTGGAGGCACAAGATCAGTGTCCTTGTATTCTGGGCATTCTTTTGTTGTATCTTTATCAAGAGAAAGATGAAATTACTTTCAGGCTCCGTGCACACGTATCCGAATATTTTTGAAACCATTTTTTTCTTCCTTTAAGTCTTCGGCAGTTCACAAGAAAACGGCGTTTTCCGGCACCTAAAACGCAACTTTGTAAAACGCTTTCATAATGTTGATTTTTTTCTTTTCTTTCTTTTTGTTTTATTTGCAAAACGCCTGCTTCTCTTTTTCAATTGAAATAGGATGATGTCATTCATAATACAGGGACGCTATCGTAATTTCATTAACGAAAGACATCTCTGAAATTGAATTAGCCTGAATACGTTTTTACAAATGTAAATGGTATTAAACCAGTGGTTTTATAATTTCAAATTTGCCCTTAGCATTTCTGCAGAATTTTAATTTATCCTGACTCAAAATAACTTCCTTGACTTTTTCATGAACTTGAAATACCTTTTTTCTACATCATTACCTAGCCTGTAACAGCTATTTACCCAAGCAAGACCATATAAGTTACACTACGACAGTTTCAGGAAGTAATGCTTGCTCACCAACTGTCAATCTTAACTCCTCATCCTGCCGTGCCAGACCATCATAGTAATAAAGGTCAAACTTCTTCTCTAACCTCCTGTGTATATCAACAGTCAATTGGTCAATCAGTTAATATATCAATCGATCGATCAATCAATCAATCAATCAATCAATCAATCAATCAATCGCTAGCCTACGTCGACGAGTATATTGCAGTTAGATAGCACATTATACACACATCTAATCCTGCAATGACTATCACTTGAATTTATCATAATCTTGAAAAAACAAGATAAACCAAGTCATTCCACGAATACACGCTCTGATTCCCTTGAGCTCTCCTTGTCCCAGTGTTGGTTTCAAGAGATTGCTTAAACTTTTTTGTATAAACACTGAAGAAATCGGCGAGTGTTTCAACAATTATGACTAAGACTTCCGGCCTGCAAGGACCTCTGGCTTCGGATCCGTAGTTCGGGGTTCAAGCCCTGCCATCGCGTTCATTCCTTAACGTGGTCTCTCCTCACTCAGGTGTATTAACGGAACCCGGCGACATCCTGCTAGCGGTAACCCTTCCATAGCCTACATGCAGACGTTTCCTTTTCTAGCGGGGGAGATGCGGGGGAGGAAAGCATTACACCCAGGTTTCTCATACTAAAGAGACTGGGAGACGCCTCGGTCGTGTGGGCACCATGGCTAGCTAAGCTTAGTACAAGCGTCTAACAAGAGTACTCTGGGTCCAATTTCCCTTGGAGGTGCCCAAAGCTTCGACCACCTACCCCTCCCCTATGTAACAATTTTGCCCTTAGTGAGAAATAAAAGTTAACGTCGCCTTAGGAGAGGGGTTGGTTGTCAGTAAGCCAGAAATCTCAATACCAAAATGTTGCCTCTTAGTTTGCACGCTTTGATCCGATCATTATACGTTTCTGGGAGACTGCCCACCTACCCTTCTCCTAAGGCAACATTTTGCCCTGAGTGAGAGGTAAGTGTTAATGTTGGTTTAGGGGAGGGGTAGGTGGACAGTTTCCCACTCTTCATACAGTTGGTGTCCGACTATCATCATTTGCTTGTAAACTGGTCGCTGATAGAAGTAATTTTCTAACCCTTCGGTAAAGCACTACAAGTGACCAGGATGTAGTATCTCTTTTACACCATCAGTGTTTTTAGTAAAACGGAAGGAATAAAACTCCTCATTACCACATAACAGGCTTTTAGTGACGACATCAAAGAATACAAGTATTTAGGAAGAATAAAAACAGGCTGATAAGTTCAAATGCCGTAAATTGGCTAGTATCAATGGCTGTTTTCACACTGGAGACGGATTATCCGTTTGAGACGGATAATCCATCTTGAAAATCCGTCAAAATTGACCGAAATACAGATGGATGAAGTCAGGCGGATTGTCCATCCAAAATTAAGACCGTTCCATTTTCAAATTAAGACGTATTATCTGTCCGACGCGAATTATCCAACGGATAACCCGTCTCAGACGGATAATCCGTCTCTTGTGTAAATACGGCCATTTACTAGTCACTATAAGCTTACCAGTCGTCCAAGAGGTTTCTGTCGATAGAGAACAAGACACTGAAGTGACTCTCGCTGCATATCACCCAAATAGGATAATTGGGATTCTTGTAATTCACACCAACCTGTAACAAATGAAATGATGAATTTTGTCAGTGCATCGTAGATACGCTTGTTTTTTGGCCATCTAAGCTGAAGAAGAAACAAAAAGCAAACAGCGGCGATAAAGAAAAATGCGTTTATATTTCCTTATATGTTTATCACAGCAGTTTGCTCTTTGTTCCTTCTGTCTGTACAACTGTAGCATGCAGGACGGGCGCTTGTTTTTCGCGTTTAAGAGGGCGTGGAACGCGAAACAAGCGCGACAGGGAAAAGCGCAGAAAAATAATAATAAAGAAACAATTTCTGCGTCTTCCCCCGCCGCACTGTCTCGTGCTCCATGCCCGCTTCGCGCATGCCTGAAAACGCGAAAAATAACGACTGTTCTGCAGGGTAGCAAAATTGCTCCTTTTACAATTTCTGCGTCTACCCCCGCCGCACTGTCTCGTGCTCCATGCCCGCTTCGCGCATGCCTGAAAACGCGAAAAATAACGACTGTTCTGCAGGGTAGCAAAATTGCTCCTTTAAACTGTACGGTTAATCCTTACGTCCCAATATCAACACAAAAATTCTCCACACTGATCTCCATACATTTCCTTGAAAAACTAGTTGAGAGAATATGATTTAAGATCAAAGCATCTTCACTTAAGTGATGATTTTATTAATTCTCATAACCTGGTCTCTTGATTATGTACTAATATTGTTAGGAGATAATTAATGTTGGTCACTCGTGGGACATAAAGGATTAAACCTTAAGCCTGATTTCCATATAATAATCTGGATTGTTTCAGCCGCCTCTATTTTCTACTCGGGACGTTGCAAACCAACGTTAGTAAACCAGCCTATCTACAGAGCTTGGCCCTATCCAGACAATTTACTGCCTGCAACAAGCAACAAGGACGGCGACAGCGATGGCTACGAATTGGAAAACGTCTAACAGTCTGTTCATTTCCAAGGTCCACTATTATGGACGGGAGCTCCGCCCTAAGGTTTGCTTCAATGTATTAAAGAAGAACAACGAGTTCTGTTCCACTACAACTCTCTTAACCTTTGTACAAAGGAGGAATAGGAAGCAGCCTTGGAGGTGTGCAGAAAAATAAAAGGGAATTTAAGCAGCGACGTTTTGGAGGGACGTACGTCAACCGGAAGTGTACTTTTTACACTCTCGAGCCGTAGTTTTGAACACATAAGGGAAAAGACACATAGAAATACAACAAATTTGGTGGTGCCAAGGCATATTGCAAGAAAAAAGATTCACTTCCGGTTAAAAACGTCGCTGCTTAAACTGCCTAAAGACGGTGGAAAGTGGGTAAGCACCTTCCGGCCCCTTTCATCACACTCCTCCCTCCTCCCCACTTTCCTCTCTACACAGAGAAATAGGGAGCTTAAGCAACAACGACGGCAACGACTACGAAAAAGTCACTTGAAAAGTGAATTCGCGTTGCCTCAAATTTTATCGCGCTTATAACATCTCGTTTAACTCGTCAAATGTTGGCAAATTTTTTTGGTAGTTGAATTCTAAAGGACTATA